CGGATAAAATTCCCGTTTTAACGACTTAGTTTCCTTTTTGTCCTATAATTAAGTGTGATGGTTCACTTTTATTATACTAACTCGAATAGTAACAGTGAGAGGACTTTGAAATACAAACAGGCCAGTCAGGAAAGGATGCCTTTTCAATAAGCATATTTTTTAATACCTTATTAAAATTTATATACAGTGGAACCTCGGGTGACAAGCGACACAATCTACGAGCATTTAGGGCAACGAGCGAACCACTTGCAGAATATTTGTTTCGCTTGACGAGCTTCCGCTCAGTCAGTGAGTTGTCAGTGCGTGTGTGCCTTTGTTCGCCCTTAAGTCTTGCTCTTTGCGCATGGATCCTCGGTCACTCGCATCCAGTCAATGAACTCATGCAGTTTGATTGACCGCGTTTCGCAAGACGAGCGTTGCACTGACGAGCTCGGTACCGAAATGGATGAAACTCCTTAAACGAGGTTCTACTGTAGTCATGAAGTTAATTTCCATAAGGTAAGGTGCTTACTTGTGAGACTTCGCTTTTATAAGCGGCACACCTATAGAAACAATTTATAGCGTGTCACTGACCAAACAAAATGAAGATGGTTCATAAAAAGTAAGGTTTTGAAAATTTACCTTTTTAGGATAAATTATAAATTACGTATCTCAGGAGCAACGTCTACTGAACAGGAGAAGGTAGAATCTCACAGTCGGAAAAATAGTCTATTTGCCTGGGCGGTTACACTAATTGTTCGGAAACAAGTATTTAAAAGGCATAATTTGGAGATAAGACTAGTAAATAAGCTCGGTTTGTTTAATAGCGGGAGGCTGTGTCAATTTGTGTAGCATTCTTCCAAAAGCCCCCACTGCTGGAAAGTTTTTAAGGCATCGTTTATATCAGCATCTGCATCCCCCCTACTACAGTAGTTGCCGAAAATCACGCAACATGCCGACATATGCGAAAGATTGATACTCATTCGCTAATCGGCAGTGACTCAAGTGTTGATACTTATTATCGTGTATTATTTTCTGAAGTGATTTCAGTTACGATAGGATGCGGGCTCTTCAACCAGTTTCGTTCTGACCACTAGCAAAACGTATCTATCGTAAAAACTGGTTACTTAAGTAGTATGCCTTTTATCATTTACTTTGACTGCCTTTATAAATTCAAATATACTT